TAAGCAGGAAAGGCGAACGTGGATCCCTTTGTACGCTGGATAAAAAGGTTTGTAATATCCTTTACCTTCTTTAGTACTGAACTGGATCTTATTTAACCTACTTTTATTGTCGTGAGAAATAAAAAAAAAAAACAGCTATTGACAGACTAGGTCAGAAAAATGGCGCGGGAAATGAAAGTAGAGAGGAAGTGAATCATAACTAAATACCTTATGGTTACTGAGCCAGGAGGACTACCCATTTTGTTGTGCATGCCTTCTCTGTAGTTAAAAATAATGTGTTGTAGCGCGAGAGTAACGCACTCGTTATTTGGTTACGTTTTGTCCTAAACAAAGTCCACAGGGAGTTTTTTTTTTTTTTTTTGCGGCAAGTTAGGTCGGCTTTTATCGGCTTATCGTTAACAGTGAGTTAAGAGTCCTTTCATTAGTTGACTGACAGCGTCATTGATGAATGCACATTAAATCTACACCATATTGATCACTGAAACGCGCTAGAATGTTATAAGAACGAAACTAAATAATGAGTGTAACCCTTTTTAAATAGTATTATGAGGACCGAATGATAGATAAAAAGACAGTGTTTTTACAGTGAGCAAAGGCGTGTATAGTTAAATTACCCATATAGTGTAGGCTACTTCTGCTTCGATTGAGAAATCATTAACGGAGAGTGAAAGAGTCATTTTAAAATTATTGTTACTTGACAAAGTCGTTAATGATTGCGCACGTTGTCTTCGACACGATTGTCTGTCATTAAAACGTACTCTCCACTTTTTAGAACCAAACGCGGTCAAATTACGGTTTCAATACTGATACTATCATTACGACCGCGTCATAGATCAAAAACTATTTTCTTAAAACTAGAGAAAGGCCTACATCGTGGGTTAATTAGGCCTAAATTGACCAATATGCCAATTGTTAACATTGAGCTCAGACCTTTTCAGTTCCCTGACAACGACGTCAATAAATGCTCACCATATCTCCCACACAATTATTGATCATCACATTATACCAAGAAATAATAATGAGTGTAACCTTGAGCAATCGATAAAAAAAACTATGATCTTGAGAACTAGAGTAAAGGCGTGCGCAGTTAAATAGGCTTGCGCAGTTAAATAGGCCTGCGCAGTTAAATAGACCTGCGTCGTAGATCACTTCGTCTTTTATTGACCGCTTGTACACGTACAGTGAATTCAAAGTCCTTTCTACAGCTACCTGACAGCTTCGTTCAGTGAATGCGCAACAGATTGTCCCCACGATTAACGATCACTGAAATGCCCTCTCGTTAGGCCGGAATAATCTCTCCTTAAACTGATAACGTCATTAAGGAACGTGCACCTTATTTTCGACACAATTTTTAATCACTGAAAAAGTAAAAGTTGACTTTTAGTATGTAGTTAACCTGTAGTACGTTTTCACTACACAAATTCTTACTTGTGGCCTTGGTGTCGTTTTCAAGGTTTACGTTAACAAAATAGTTATCCATAGTTAACTTTTAGTACCTTATGTACTAAGAATTAACTTTTAGTATTTAGTTCATGTTTAGTACATTTTGTACATGGTTGAACATTTTGATTATACAAATTCTTACTGTCTAGCCTTGGTGTCCTTTCCAAGGTTTATGTTAAAAAATAGTTAACCATAATTAACTTTTAGAACATTATGTATTAAAAAATTTACTTTAAGGATTTAGTTGATGTTTAGTACGTACATCATTGAACATTGTGACTATACAAATTCTTACCGACTGACCCTCGTGTTATTTTTTAGGCTTAAGTTAACAAAACGTTGTTAAGAAATAATTAACGTTTTTGTTTCGTGGAGAAATTCTATTATTGATCATTAAGTTAATTTATCCGCTAATGAGATACATTATAGCGATATCATAATACTAATGTAAGTCATTTTGTCAGCTGTAGACCTAGCCGACTCACTGGGTAAATATCAAATTGTTTCGTATACTTTATTATCTGACCATTTCATAACAATGTGACTTCCTTTCAGGATTCGAACGCACTTTTTTGATTGTCTGACAGTAAAGTGGTCTTTAAAGATGTTTGATAACATTAAACCAAAAGCCCACAACTGACGAAACAGGTTTTATAAGATGATTCTTTGATTCATGATGTTTTTCTACTATCTTATATCTGCCTGATATAAAACATAATTAATCATGACCATTTCACACTCCTTAATCCCACTCGAACGATTTCTCTGTCTGAGAAGACATGACGTTACCCGTTACAGCAAGCACATTACTTCCTATTAATTGTCTTCGGGTTTAAAACATCAATTTTATGCTATATTTATTTAGTTGAAGACGATCACATATAAGTATGTACATTATAGTTACAAACGTTTAATTTAACTAGCAGAATTTAAAGAAAATTATGTCTCGTCACTTACTGATTTATCATTTCCTTATTGACTACAGCCGTTGTCGGGAAAAGAAACTATAGTTGTTCCACGCGTCCCTATAAGATTAATCCTATCCCCGGCCGTTTCTTGTATTGTTGGTGCTATTGTTAACTGTCATGCTGTAACTCGTGCGTTAGAAAGGAGATATTGTCAAACAAAATTGGTGGATATCATATAATGTTGATCTCTCAACTCACTTTGCCAGGGGAAATTTCATTAAAAGGAATGTACTTAAATGATGTGTTCTTCTTTTCTTTTCTTTTCTTGTAAGTGCGACAAATGTAGTGCTCGCCGGTGCAACTGACAAATTCGATTTAGGTTGAAGTTGTAACTATGAACGATAACTATACTAACTATTAACTACGAACACGTGAAAAAATCTAAGAACAAATTATTACGTTCCGAGTGTAGATCTCGTAGCTCAAGTGTCCCTTAAAAATGAACGAGAAAAGGAGGCAGTCCCTCACTTAGCAAACGAGCAAGAACCTGACGCAGCAAACCATTTTCAAAACGAGCCGGTTTCGCCCGTTTTAACAACGAACGGAACCGAATCGTTTTGAAAACGCTCCTCGTTTGATATAGTTTTCAAAACGAGCTTGTTTCAGAAGTGGTCTCGATCGGCGACGTGTAAACGACGGGCGTAACGTCTTCGAAAGCTATGCGATTACAAATGAACCCTGTCTGTGTAAACAGTGCCTGAGATATGCCTTCTTGTTCTTAACCACTTATGCGTGGACCAAAACCAAAAGATCAAAACTATAAATTTACCAAAATAACACGTAGGCGCAAAAGGGCGAGACCTAACAAAACAAAAGGTAAACCTAAAAATACTCAAAATAGCAATCTTTTAAAATACTCTACAACATTCAATGGGCGGGAAAGAAGGACGGCTTGTATTCGAACCAGTAACATTAAATTTTCATGATCTCTTACTCAGGGGGTAGATCATGCGATTTAACTTCAGTTTCAAGACAGAAATATATCTAAGATTTTCAAGAGCATTAAAAGGCATTACTCATCAAAACATCTAGGCTAAAAAGCAATTAAAATCGACCGAAGATTTCATGAAACAAAGCAAATCTTAAATTTATGTTGTAGAGTATTTTAAAAGATTGCTATTTTGAGTATTTTTAGGTTTACCTTTTGTTTTGTTAGGTCTCGCCTTTTTGCGCCTACGTGTTATTTTGGTAAATTTATAGTTTTGATCTTTTGTTTTTAGTGTGTGCTTGAACTGGGCTTAGTTCGGGGATTTCTTTCTTACCGTGCTAGACATTTTAATCGCTTGATATGCTTGAGAATAATTAGTTTCATAGATGGTCATGTTTGGGTTGGTAAAACTGACATTGAGTTCTACCCATACTGTAGATCCGGTTTGTGCGCGTGATTTTCATCTGCGGCTCGATCATTGGCGTTTAATTGGTTCCTTGGTGCTCGCCAAGTGCTTCGGAGCGAGCCACCCAATTTTCCCTTTTGCAAAACAACGAATACACTATGGAAACTCCCACGGTCAGCTAACCCAAACATGTCTATGATTTTTGCATTTAATACGTGGGCACTCCTTGCAAAAAGTAGAAAAAAAGTAGCAGCTGCAGTAGTAGAAGAAGAGATCTGAAACGTTGTAGTAGGTAAGAATAAAAAGAGAGAAGAGTCCAGAGTCTCAGTACTTCTCGTTAAAAGCCAAGCGAGGGGTAAAGCCCCCCAACATTTAGCTCACCAAAAAAAAAAGACGAAAGGTTTAATATGAGAGTAAAAATAACAAAATCAGAGAAAGATATTTAATTTCTTTGTTCGTTTAGGGCATGTTACTTGTCAGATCGGTCCTCTTGTGCGCCTAAATGTAATTAACCCATCGTATTTTGTTAAAAAAATAGCACTTTGTCACCGAGAACTGAAAGTGCGTATTTGCTAAGAAATACGTTTTCCGAAATAAACTGTGAAAAAAGTCTTAAATTGAATTATTCGAAAATGGAGGCAGTTCGTCTTTCAAAGCGCAAACCACAAGTAGAAAAATTATTTTGTTACAAAGAAAAGAACGAGTTTTATCAGGAAAAAACGATTCCAGCACCTTCAAAAAAACCTTAAACTTTAAGGTCGAGGTTATATCATAGCCTACGACAGGATTTTGTTTAAAAATTGACTTGTGAAAGAATAAAAAGTATTTCCTATTGTCGAGGACTTGGGTGGAAACTTTCTATTCGTAAATGACCTTCGGAATCTGCAAAAATCTAAAATTTATTGTTTTTTTTTGGGTCTTTGTACCTACGACTGAGTATTTGCTACGTTTGTCGAACAGAACACGCGGTATTTCCCTCACAATGCTTAACATTCTCTGCATTTCAGTATAGCTGCCAAAAGAGAAGTGTAAATTTAAGCTGGACATCAACAACACAAATTTTAAAGTTTTCTGCATGATGAAAAAATGCAAAAGGAGAAAAGGTAACAATCTAGGGAGAAAGAGAGAGAGAGAGAGTTGAAAAGAAATGCGAGGATGGACAACTTCTGGCGTAAAAAAAGATAAAAAAACTTAATAAAACGTTTCGATGAGAGACCTTCTTCAGTTATTTACAACTTTTGAATAAAAAAGAGCTTTAACTAAGATCGAGATGCTAGTGATTACGTAATTACAGGTGACGACTAATAAACTAGACACAAAATCACGTGAAAGAGCAGAAAATGGTTCTGCAGAATAAGCTATTAACAAGCAATAACATTGTAACGATACGAGAGAGGGTAAAATATGTATAAAATACTCGACTGGGGGAGTGGTTGGCACTATGAAAAACAACTACTAAGAATGAGTAGAGTAGCGGCAATCGAGCACGGGAGATCCTCCAAGTGCCCAGCCGTGGATAGTCGTGAAAGTAATTATCTTGGTAGTTTAGACTTAAGAGAAGATAGAGGAACTTTATTTGTGAGCGGAGAAGAAGAATTGGAGAACTCTCTCAGGTCGCAGCTAAGATTACTGTAAAGTTTAGTAGCGCTTAAGGCAAGTGTGCGTTTCCCAGAGTTGCTAAGTGGGTATGGCACCTTTAAGTCAAAGGGAGAAGCTTTTATAAAACTCCCCAAAGGTCCACGTGAATTAGAAAGAAATTGAAATCTGTTCCTGAGGCAATTGGGAGCGTTTGGATTAAAGATTACATTTAAGAAGAGAAAACTTTTCCTATATTTAATGAGTTAAAAAACGGGGATCCACCTTAGTTTAGAATTAAATATAGAAGCCTAAGAGAAGTCAGCATCAAGGAGTACACGACTAGCACGCTTTTGGTGACGCAAGAAGAAGTGGTGGGAACAGTTACCCCTGGCAGCAGATTAATATCTCAAATAGTTGTTAACACAAGAATTATTAGATCTTAAAGCATAGTCAAAGTTAGAAACGTCATAGGCAAGGTGCGAAAAATATTTTGGCAACAGTTTTAGCTACCCAACTTCGCCTGTTCCTTTTCGTAAATCAGGCCGAGCCTCTACGGCCATTGACCCCCGCACAGCGAGAAAAAAAGCACATCTCCGTTAAAGGGGTGATAAGGAAAATCATTGAAGTGCTCTCCTCCTTGGATACTTGGGACATTTATGATATCTTTGTCGGTGGATTTCATCTGTTACTTTAACTTGAACTTTTCCCTTCGATGATCAGAATCTTCCTCTAACACAGTCTCCGCCGCTTCTACAGAATCAAAGACATGGGAAATGGGTAAGGAAGGTTTAACTCTTTTTTTTCTTTTAATTTTAAGTTCAATTACGACTATTTGATAGAAAGAAGATTCCAAAGGCAGGTAGGCGAGGGCAAATTACCATGTAATGTTGACGGATCAACTCGACATCTATTATATTTACTTCTTCATTCGTTACTGGTATGATACAAATTCTCAAGTACAACTTTTTATCAATGCACCAACGAATAACAATGCAAAATCCTTTTGAGAACATCAGTAACTTTTACATTATGTGCCTTAAACTCGAAAACGGGTTCAAGGTCCCCAATTTTGTTGTTGTTGATTTGCAGTCAGCCTGACCAGACTCATCTTTCTAGGATGAGGGCTCTGCACTTCAATTTTTCGATATGCTAACATGGCATTGCCTATAGTTCAGACAGAAACTTAACTTGCTGATTTCAACTCTGCAACAAAAAGTGTGGGTCACCTTATTTGCTTTAGCGTGACGGGCACCAACATGCAGCGTTAAGGGTGTTGCTAAAAAGGATATAACATTTTTACAGTAACTTTTTAAGCATTTGCTCAAAACCGTTTTTCACAAAACAAAGCAGAAATTTTTTTTTTTAATGGTCCCATTGTAGAATTGGTGGTGGGAAATAACAGAACTGTTTTTAGCCACCCTCGTCGAATCGATTATTTGAGGGCAAATCAATTTAGAAACCAGCAATTATCTGTGGCAGAAAGCGATAAAGACAAAATGCCTTATTGCATAAAAAATACATGATTTGAAAGCTGCGGCAGGGGCGAAGCCAGGATTTCTAGGAGGGGGGGTTCTAAATTGATTCCACCAAAAATTAAAACGGTTCTAAAATCTTTACATTAGGTAAGTACAAGACTTGGCGTTTACGCTACGCAAACAGAAGACGCCTTGGTTGCCGTTGAGCGAACGTGCTTATCACTTCTTCGATATATATATCTCGGTGGTAATTGATGTTTATCAACGCCAGCCCAGACTCTCGCTCGCTTGACATGGTCGACCTCAGGTATGTTTTTAACCATCTTAGTGTATTGAATGAGTGCTCACATTCAGCTGACGTTATCGACAACGTGCACAAAATGTGGATCAAGGTGTGAATGTTAGGAAAGAACTCTCGATAGCATGGTGCGAGTGTCTGAGCTGCACTGGTGGGACGATCTGCATCCTCAGTGCTGCACCACTTTCTCTTCCATCGCAGGAGCTCTACATCAACAACATGAGGAGAAGCAAGGTTGTTCTCGTAAAACTCTAGCGCTGCTCCAATGTCAGGATTTCTGTCTCTGACGGCTACCAGCTCAGGAAGAAGATTAAATAGGCTGGACAAGACAGCATCATTAGTAGGATTGAGGTATGTTTTCATCTCTGATAGTAGATGGTCTAGAAGGGGAATAGCAACTGCCCTCTTGTAGTAATCAGATGGTGTCTGGGTTTGTACATTGTCGCGATGCTGCTGCTGATTGGTTCGGCGCGGTATGGAAGGCACAACACCGACATTTGCCGTGGTAGTGACCGCCAGATCAAACCACTTGGTCCAGATGTCTTCGGTCTCCTCGGTTCTGGGATTAGAATTTTATTTCATCAAGAATCGATGTTAGGGCCGGGAAAAGTGTCTTCATTCCAATTCCTTACGCATCATCACTAAATATTTCGCTGTGCCTACCTTTTTGGTGAAAAGAATGCATCGATCTTTCCCAATCGGGACATTGTTTAATACGAAAACAACCAGCTCGAACAACACCAAGTGTTGAATGTCATTGAATGGATCGTCTACTATTTCTTGGGCATTTCTGCAATACACACGTTCATGTATGTGTGCACGATCCTTCGCAGTAAAGCAGTATTTAAGCAATAGTGAAAATCAGACCTGAAAAAAATTCAGGCCTGTACGGGATTCGAACCACTGACCTCTGCGATACTAGTGCAGCGCTCTACCAATTGAGCTAAGAAGCCAACTGGGAGCAGGCCATCAAATGAACACACGTTCATCTTGTCACAAAGGAATCCCAACCACAATGACATTCACTGTACTTATTAGTTGTCTTTACACTAAAGCCAAGATAAGCTAAGAAATATTTCAAGACAAGTAAATTTTAATTAATTCAAGTAAAATATAGCTTCACACACAACCGATTCTTTTTAAGTTCAAGTTAACCGAGGGCTATTTTCCCACGCAACATGATTAAGATTGAGTGATACGTCTCGCCTTTTTCAAAGCTCAAAAAACGCAAGTCAGCTAAGTCGGTCTTAAGGATGGTTTTCAAGTCGCTTGAAACTTTCTTGAGTCTTTTCAACCTTTCGACTTTAATGAGATCATGCAAAGTAAAGTTGTTTGAGATTTTACTTAAGCCTTCACACACGCGTTTTTGGTTCAGTAGAACTTAGCAGCTCTTAAGTCTTACTTAACGGCCTAGTGTAAAGACAATCATTGTAAGCATAGAAAAATTAAGAATTTCAGGAATCGAGAGTCCATTACACTCTTTTTGAGATGAAGTGACTGAGGAGAGGGGGGTTCCTTGACGCGAGAGGGGGGGCTCCCGAACCCCTGGAGCCCTCCCCTGGAGCCCTCCCCTGGCTACGCCCCTGTGCGGACAGTATAAATAGCTTCAGGCGTCGTTCAGCGCAGAAACTATTAAACGGAGAGCATTTGTATTGAGTAAACTCAAATTTTAAAGTATACTTTTAGGTCTTTTGTGATTGATTCTAACCACAAAATGTTTTATTTACCTGTTATTTCTTCTCCTCCTTTTTAACTTATATGTACCTTAAATATTGTAGTTAGACATTTTCACCGAAAAGACCAAGTTGGGAGTTACAATAAACGTATGTATGTGTGTATGTAACCATGAGAACCTGTCGAAATTAAAGATGGTCATTTTAGGTAGTGCAGATGTCCCCTTTGCTCACCAATAAAACAGGTACTAAAGCTGTAGATGATGTACAAATTTCAAGTTAGTGGCAAGCTAAATATATGAAAATTGTAGTAGTCAATTAATCGTATCTTTATTGCGCTAAATTTGAAGTCAGCTAACATCGATTTAAGTAACGTCCTTGAGGAAAACAATTTTAAATGGTGTTTGACAAAGCAACTTTAAAGCGTGCTTTAGGCTTGGTGTGAATGGGGCACTATATTGAAGTAAAGGCATCATTAGTCCGGCTATTATCATAGTTTTTTATGAAGTCTGATAGCTATGCATTTTTCCAAGGCAAAATAAAGCAGTCTTTAGGAAAAAAGAAAAAAGAAAAACAAAACAGAACAAAACAGAACAAACAGAACAAACAAGAAAAGGAAATACACACTCAGAGTCAGCAGTATGGATCGAGTGAGTCAAATTTTAGTCCCGACCAAGAGCGTTTGTTTAGGCCAACGGAACACCAATTAAAATTTTTTAAGTAGATTGCTTTTTGCATAGTTTTCTCGTAAACCTAACATTGTTTAAGACCTATGAATGATTGGAAAATGATAAATTAGTGAGTCCCTGAGATTTTTCGCGGAATGAAAAAACTTGCACCATGCCGTTAATACTTAAACGCAATAATACAATAATACATACCAATCAGCCGGTTTGCAATCGCTTTCTCCCCCATATTTATGAGGATGTGTACTAGGCCTCCTACGGTAGCGTGACTCTTCCTAAACATCCAGATGTGAAGGGCATGTGTCGTCATCTCTTCACCGGGTCCGCATTCTAAACGAATGTCATCGAGAGTTTTTTCGTCCAAACCAAGTGCTGATCCAAGTTTCCTATAGCAGTTTCTTAAATCGCCTTGTACTGCTGTGATAAACTCAGTTTTAAAGGGAAAGTTCATCAAATTGGGCTCTCCGGACACATCTACATGCCAAAAACAAAATATTTATACAAATTTGACACCGGTATGGCTCTTCTGCCAGTCAAGTGACAATCGTCAAGTTACAAGATCTGTTAGATAGGCGAAACTACCTACCTTACAAAAAAAGGCGATTAGAAGATACTTTATTGGTACATAGTCTCGCCAGTCTCTTATTTCGCGTTTCGCTAAACTATTATAAAGTATATCGTTTTATTAATCTGTTTATGTTGACCTTCAGCAGCATTGTTATGATATAAATATATACAAACTAATCGAATGAAGCCTTACACTGCTGTAAAATGTTTTAAAAATCCGAGCTTTCGCCGATCAACGGCATCATCAGGGATAAGAAAATATTCCGGGAGCGCTATATATATATATATATATATATATATAAAAGAGTGCGTAAAAAGAGTGTGTGGTGAAATGTGTAAAAGATGTGATTATGCATGAAAGCTGTAGACATAGACTGTGAATGGAACACAATTAAGGCTCTAATGAAGCCTTACACTGCTGTAAAATGTTTTAAAAATCCGAGCTTTCGCCGATCAACGGCATCATCAGGGATAAGAAAATATCCCGGGAGCGCTATATATATATATATATATATATATATAAAAGAGTGCGTAAAAAGAGTGTGTGGTGAAATGTGTAAAAGATGTGATTATGCATGAAAGCTGTAGACATAGACTGTGAATGGAACACAATTAAGGCTCTAATGAAGCCTTACACTGCTGTAAAATGTTTTAAAAATCCGAGCTTTCGCCGATCAACGGCATCATCAGGGATAAGAAAATATCCCGGGAGCGCTATATATATATATATATATATATATATAAAAGAGTGCGTAAAAAGAGTGTGTGGTGAAATGTGTAAAAGATGTGATTATGCATGAAAGCTGTAGACATAGACTGTGAATGGAACACAATTAAGGCTCTAATGATGGACCGTTATAAACAAAGATTCTATAAAAGCGTCAAAAATGGTCTAAAAATGAGATATTAAAATTGGAGGTCTGCGAATTCATTACATTTTTTCCAGGAATTGAGTGTAGGCTTGTATTTTGATTGCAGCTGTTGGATGTGAGCTTGTATACTGCATTTCGTCGTAGACATAATCCGGTGTTAGAGGTGGGGCACTTGTCTCTGGTGCATTTGCGTACTTTGGGGGTGTGGGATAGGGCTTGTCTGAGTGTGAAGGATTTGTGGGAAATGCGTATCGGGATGTTTTCTGTGCCATCGATGTTCGACCATTTCTTTTGGGGTTGTAGTGCTTTGAGAGTGAGCTGGAGTTTATGATGAATTCTCTGCAGCTTCTGTTCAAGTTCGTTGTTAGACTGGGGTCTGTAGATGTGTCGGGTTTGTGGATAGGTAAGAAAATCTGACTTTTGGGGGTTTGACTCGCGGTAGTGTTTCCATCGTATTTGGTTGGCTAGTCGGTAGAATGCAATATTGATGCCCGTGATTGTGTGTTCATTTACTCCAGGAGAGAGGCTGAACTTGGGGCCTTTGGATTGGAGGTTGATTTCTTGAGTGTTAAGGTTACAAGTGAGGTCGGTGACTAGTTTTGTTTCCGCGTTTGGGGAATGAGCGTTGTCTGTGTCAACGTTGTTCTTGGTACAGACAGGAAAACTATTAAAGAACTCAAAGAGAAGAACTATGTATGCCTCCCCAGCAATAAAGGCACCGAGTTCTGCGTCCTACAACAAGACACATACACCCAAGTCGCCGTTTATCACCTCAGTGATGCCAACACCTACCAAAAAGTACCCCACATGTCAGCCAAGACAGTCGAAAATTAAGTTAACACAACCTGGAAGAGGATCTGCCAACAAAATAAAATTCTTCCCTTTATGCAAAAAAGCTTCCTTGCGTCAAACACAGACCTGCCCAGATTCTGCCATCTAGTCAAGACCCACAAAGCAGGCCCCGATATTAAAATGCGACCTATCGTATCCAACATCAATGGACTCACCCAACGTATTTCATGACTTCTTGCCAACGCCCTCAAATCGATGCTAAAAAATGTTCCAGCCCATTTAGTAAGCAGTCTCGAACTCATTAGATGTATCCAAGCCGGTGATCTCACCACAAACAAAGCGCTACCATATTCATGCAGCCTCGATGTGATATCCCTATACACCACAATACTAATACAAGAAGCCATCACCAACGAACGCTACAGATAGAATCCAGATCCCAATACTCCACCTCTCAAAACAAGACATCTCAGACCTCCTCCAAGTCACGCTAAACAACGTGTACTTCTCCCTCAGATATCGAGTTTCTCGCCAAAGGGAAGGCCTACCCATGGGCTCTAACATCTCAGGTATACTGGCCATCCTGTTCATGGACAAACTAGAAACCAGTCGCTAGACATTTTAATTTACCTAATCATTCTAAGCAACATATGGCAATCTGCGGTCTTTCCTTACACTTAGATAGCACGGAAAGCCGTAAAACTCTTGAACAAAAGCTCATCTTTCAAACCGGCAGTCTAAATCCCACAGGGATCAACGAACGCTTTTCATTCCACTAATTTATTCGTGTTTTTCTCGTTGCCATGTTCCCACCAATAACGTAGCTCCATTTTCTGCCTTTAAAAGCACACACAACCCACAATTCCTCTATTCGCTCCGACGAAGGGCTAACGCTCGAAACGTCAGCTTTTGTAATCGTTACGGTGGCCAATTTACCATTTCAACTTTGTTGATATATCCAAATTATTTCGTTACTCCCACCGACGCAGCCCCAAACAGTTTCTTTCGAAACTATCAGCCTTTATTCATTGACACCTTTAAGTTGTGCATATGTTGCAGCAGCATTCCCCTCATTGGCCCGTCCAAATCTCATTGCTTGTGTCTGTCTGACAGGTTTTTTCAACTGAGCCACCAGGGTTTCATAGTCGTTTTTCCTTGCTGCAACCCCTTTGAATTTTGATGCAGTAATTCGTTTCTTTCTGAGATCATGCCTAAAAGGGTTGTCTGATTGATCCCTTGTTTCTTTCTCAATTTGTTTACACTCTTCCAGTTTGATTTGCTCACTAGCATAGTAAATTGACTCCTTTTCTGGGAGGACTGTGGTGTACCCTGGGGTGAAAATAACTCGTGTTGGCAGGTCAGGAAAGTCTCTGCACTGAGGAATGTTTCTTATGTGGGAATAGTCAGTTGCAAGCCTTTATTGGTATGAAATGACACTTCCACTAGGAACTAAACCAAACTTACTCTCAATATATGAAGCATCAAAAGGAAAAAGGCTTGCAAACTGGGTCTCTGGAAAATTGCACATAATTTGGTGCTGAAAATTGGCTATGAATTTCTTTGGAGGGAAGTCTGGGGCTATTGGGTTGTACAGGCTGCTCTTAACCCCATCAAAAGAGCGCTTTTTCCC